TTCTTGGCTATCCATGATATATTCAAGAGGTTCTACTCCCCCAATTTCAAAGTTCCAAAACACCAGTAGTCTTTCTATTCTACTTCTTCAGGATCCAACCTTTACATCCATAGAGTTTCACAGATAAAATCTCTGCCTGCCCAATTCTGATTTTTGCAGGTATAGATACATCACAACATTTGAATATATTTTCCATGGTCTTCATTGCTACCCTATTAAGTTCTAGTCTGTGGTGTACTTCTTGACTGTTGTTTCCTTTACTGTTGATAATTGATCCTAAAAGGCAGAAACTATGCACCACTCCAGTGTATTCATTGTCAGTTTGAAGTGTGGTTGTTGGTTTGTTCTCCTTTATATTTAATCTTAGCACAATTTTTTTCACTGTGTTCCTTGACTTTCATTACTACAGCTTCTAAATCATTTGCATTTTCAGCTATCAGAGTAGTGTCATCAGCAAAGTGCAGGTTATTGATGTTTCTTCTTTCAATTTTAAAACCAAGCTCATTTGCTTCCAGTCCAGATCCCCTCAAAATATATTAGCATACAGGTTGAATAAATAAGGGGAAAATGTATAGCCTTGCCTCACCCCTTTGGTGATTTAGAATCAGTCTGTTTTGCCATGTTCCTTCCGGACTGTGGCTTCCGGTCCAGTGTATAGGTTTTCCATAAGGACAATGAGATATTCTGGGATTCCCATTTTCCTAAGAACATTCCACAGTCTGTCATGGTAATCAGTATTGAAGGTCTTCCTATAATCAATGAAGTGTGTGTGTCTGTATCTTTCACTTTTTCAATTGCCAACATGCATCAGCAAGAATATCTCTTGTTCCTTGGCTTTTTCTAAAACCAGCTTGAACATTAGCATCTCCCTTTCCATTAGAGCAATAATCTGCATTGGATAATCCTAAACATTATTTTGCTAGTAGTGAAATTAAGGATATTATATGATAGTGTCAGCCCCGCTAAGTAGACCAGACCAGGAAATCAACTCCATGGCTATAACAACAGAACCTTGCAAATCTGATTGTCCTCCTCATCCTCCTTATAGTTCAGTGAATTAGGCAGACATCTGCCTGAGCTGCTTCTGTTATCTCATTCTGGACTTTAAAAAATGCTATGGCCCCTTTTGCCTAGATAACATTGGAACTTCCTTCTGGGTTCAGATGTCTTGTTTTTCCATGTCTGTTTGCATCTTCAGTGTCTTTACAGATGTTGCTGTAATATTGCTCCTTGTCTCTTCTAACAGCTATCTGAAATTCTTGTTAAATTCCTTCCTGAGGTCTTCCTCTTTTCTGATTTTGGTGCTCCTTCTCTATTTGGGAATTTTCACCTTTTGTTCTGACATCCAGTTTGCTTTTTTTGGTTTCTTGGCCTTTGACAGTGTTTTTTCACATTCATCCTTAACAACTTCTTTGATTTCATTCCGTGGTTCCTCTGGTTCTCTACCAGTGAGGGTTAGGACTTTAAAGTGATTCTTGGCAACAGATGTTCTTGAAAATGGTGGGTATATGCTCAAGATCATATCATGCAAACTGATTGACTTTCTTCTTCTGGCTTAGCTTTATCTAGAACTAGCATATGAGCAGTTCATGATGTGTCCCACAATCATCCCTTAGCCATTTTTGTGTAACCCATCTGGTGATGTCTGTGTATAGGGGTGCCATTTTGGTGATTGAAGAATATGTTAACAATGAAGAAATCATTGGATTGGCAGAAATTGATAAGTTGTTCACCTGCTTCATGTCTTTCCAAGGCCATACAGTCCAACCATGTTTTCCTCCTTACTGTTTCCAATTTTGGCACTCCAGTCTCTAACCACAAGCAGCACATCTTGCTTACATGCTCTGTCAATTTCAGACTGAACTTAAGTAACTTAAAAACGTCTTTTTCTTCATCAGTGGTCAGAGCACAAACTTGGATAATTGTTATATTAAAATGATCTTCTGACTGAAAGTGTCCAATTCCAGTCCATTTCAATTTGCTGATGCCTAAAATGTCATTAATTCATTTCTTCTTCCACTGTGTTGAGCTATTCATGCTTCTTAGTTTCCATGTTCCCACTATATTTCTGTTTTTGCAGCTTCAGATTTACATTTCTTGAATAGCAACATCAGCAACTAGATGTTGCAAAGGAGTTAATTTGGCAATGTCATAAGCATCATCAATACTCCAGAAGATCCTCAGTTCTTCCTCAGTAGCTCAATTCCATCCAACTTGTGGGGCCTATCATCCAGCATTATATTGTCAATCACTTTATATTGCCTATCCATGTGGTTTTCTTGGTAAAATATAGGAGTGGTTTACCACTGCTTTCTCTTGTATTTAAAATAGACTCCTGTGTACCTGGAAACAATATATTTTCACTTTGGTACTAAATTGCTGCCTGAGAAGTGGAATTCATGATTCCAGAACTAGTATAACTATCCTTCCTGACAGAACTGATGTCACTCAGATTTCTTGATACAGCTTCATACCAACTGCACAGAGAAATTAAGTAGCACTTTTTTGTGTGCCACTTCTTAGATCCAGAAACAAATAACAATTTGGTAATGATATAATTGTCATACTTCTCTTCTGTCAAAATTCAAGTGCATGGAATATTCCCTTAGACATTCCCAGCCTTGCCTTTTGAACTCATGAGGAAGTTAATATGCTCATTTTAAAATCATTTTCTTTTCACTTTTTCTCAGAACTGCATCTCTGCCTATTATACTCTAATATCAAGGTCAGGCTTCAGGTACCATAACAAGAGCACTCCCTACAAATACATATTTGCCTATACATGTTCCAAATTGCTCAGCTCCTGAGCAGCACAGATTGCCTCAGTGTGCAGATCATCCTTTAAACAGATAATCATAATTAGCTACTTTATCACACTAGTCGGGTGCTCTAAATTATAACTTTATTAAGCACCACAATCAGAGATTAAAACAGTATTTGTAGCAGTGATGCTAACTAGATTGAGAAAAATATATCTATGTAGTTTCAAATTTATGAAAATAAATACTTTGGTTGAAATCAGTGCAGTAGTTTACTCTTGGCTCTTAAGCCATCATTCTAATTGTCATTCAGTAATTAGTTTTCCCCTTTATTGCAGCCAATTACAAAGAGAAAGAGAGAGATGAGTCATAGTGAATTGAATTCAAATTATAATCTGTCTTTTCTCCATTTGTACAATGAATATAAATGGAGCAAGGGTATTTTTAAGACATGCGTAAGGCTATTTGCATAAAGATGTGTAAAAAAGCTATAGGTTTTAATAGCATTGGGACATAGGGAACTGGCCCTACTCCTAAATGTTTCTTCTTATAGATAAAGGAAGCTTAAAACTTTTTTCTATTGTTCTCTTCTCTACTCGATCCCTATGTATAGTATCAGATAAGAAGGATGGGGAAAATAAAAGTTTTACCTAGGGATGAAAAATGTGGACTACATAGATCCTACTTAGTAAGAGGTAGGACAAAGTTGTATGTTTCTGACATAGTTACTCTTATGGCCCAGTCTGTGGTGTTTCTATTTACATATATTGCTCATGCAGCATGGGACCAGACCACTTGGAAATAACTTCTGTGACCTAACACTAACACATGAATCATAGGATGCACGTACTCAGATTCACAACTTCTGTATGCATCTCATGTATTCTTTGTACAAAATAATACAATCTTAGTGTTTGGTTTTTCGTATCTTTGTTGCAAAATTTGAACAGGCATGATATTCTTACATGAAGGAAATGAAATCTAGGACATAGTACACAAAAACTTGCAAAAATATTGACTGCATCAGCTTCTTCCATTAATCAATTTTTGTTGTGTCCTTACCCTTTAATTATTCAGAAAGATTCACTAATAACTGTGAAGTTAATTGTGTCTGAGCCAAACAGATTGTTTTGCATTTCTGCATTGGAGGATGTCTATCAAGTACTGTTCTCTGTTGTTCTGAAATGCAGGATGCAGAATAATAGAATTAAGTTAGAAGAAGGAGCAGTTTGACCATGAAACCAATTGTTGGGGGGGGGGCACTCCTTCACTAGATGTTAATGAAAAGGGTCAGGGATGCTTTAATTTTGATTCCTGAACCAAGTGAAGGGTCTTAAATGGCATCTTGCAACCCTATGAATCTTTGATGATTTGTTTTGCAGGAATTCAAATAAACCATGGTAGCAGTGATGCTCTTTTACAGATGAAAGTTCCAATTCTTTATCTTCTTCACACCTGCCTGTTCTGCATCTTGCAGAAAATATACTAGTGTGCTGCTATCATGATATAGTTTGGTGGGATATAGTGTATATTTTGGGATTATAGAGTGTGCTCTATTTTTTTAGGGTTGTGTGGGTGTGGGTGTGTTGTGGCACTAACTTTTGTGCAGCATTTAGATATTAGAGGAAATACTATTTTCTCCCAGATTTTGCATTGAAGCATGAAACATCAAAAGCTGCCCTAGCAAGTGGATCTACTGAGGCAGAGGTACCCCAGCTTTCTCTTTCATGTGGCAAACTGACATAACAACTTGAAAGTAACTAACACAGTTTTTCCACTGACATCAGAAAACTGCAGTACCTATTAGGAATTACATCCTCTGAGGAACCAGTCTTGCTTGCTTACTGAAAAGATAGCCTGGAACTCTTTCCGTTCAGAGATCTGTTCACAAGAAATGTTCCAATTTGCTATTCTGTGTAGTAGATCTATTTTTCAAGTATTGTAAGTACAAGCATCCTGCTCCTTTCAGTAAAAGCCAGGCAGATCTGTTTATAACTGCAACCTGATTCTGAAGTGGACTAGAGCTTTCCCAGAAAGTCCCATTGCTGCTCTGTTGATCCAGGAGCAGATCACAGAGAGATACAGTATCTGCTATTTCAGAAGGAAATAGATGGTTCTGTCCATGCTGGCATAGCTTTCATTTTCAGTTCATCCTCTCATAGAGGTGTGACATAAGCAAAACTTCCTGAAAAGGAAGAATGTGCCATTAGTCATCTTTCCTTCTCTTCCCTCTTATTTTAGAGTTCATCTGTATCTCCATCAGCAAGTTTCAGAGCCTCTGAGAAGCACAGAAACTCCACAGACTACTCTTCTGAAAGTAAAAAACAGAAGACAGAAGAAAAAGAAATAGCAACTCGTTATGTGAGTGAAACCATGTACATTTTTCCTATTATTTGTTATTTTATAATGCTGATAAGGATGTATAGATTTCACTCCAAAGAGGTCTTGGCTGTTATGCACAGGCTCAGAGGATTCTGCATTTTGTCTCCCAAGAACCTTCTCAGCTGAACCTAGGTCAGGCGAAAGAAGATGTAGCAAAACTGGCTTTAGCTCCTCAACACAGCCACTTTCCATGGTGAAAAGCATACCGAAATGGCATCATCTCCCAAGAATGGATATTGGGGGGTATTGTTCCAGTACTCTCTTTGACAGATAGGCAAACTTTCCTGGAGCTATTGCCTTTCTTTTATAACATTAAATTCATATTCTGCCTTTCTGTTTAAGAGCAGCTAACATTTTTAGAAAAATAACAAAAACTTAAGAATTAATTCTAAAATTAACCCATAATTAACAGATTGCTAAGAGAAATGTGTATTTACTGATTTTCTAAAGGCTGGGGTTAATCTTCACAGGTTTTCTAAATGCCAAATGCATTTCCCAAGGAAAGCATTCCATAACCTAGGAGTGATGCAGGAGGAAATCCTCCCCCATACACCAGAGAGACAAGCATTTTCTATTCAGAAGGGTCTTTCTGCAGATATCAACACTCGGACTAGTTTGGAATGGGACAGCTGATATCTCAGATAATCAGGATTTAAAGTGTTTAATCAATACCAATACTTTAAAGTCTGCCAAATAAGCAGATATTTTGTTATAATATAAGCATTGGGTGATCCCTGTACTTTACTCAGTTATCAGTTCAGATGCTGCATTTGCAACATCCAATTGCAACTTCCAGATATTTCTCAAGAGGAGCCCCATACAGTCGGGTGAAAAAGAAAATATACCCTCTTTGAGTTTTGTGGTTTTATATATCAGGACATAATAAAAAAATCATCGGATCCTTAGCAGTTCTCAAAAGTAGGTAAATATAACCTCAGATGAACAACAACACATGACATA